AAAAAAAAAAAAAAAAAAGAATGCCCAGGTGTATAGCAGAGCTGACAAGGGGCAAAGTTGTAGTAGCTTCCTGGCCACAGCCAGCTATGTGGAGGGAGCGAGTAGTTGGACCCGCAGGCTTGGGACCATGGTCACAAGGGACATAAAGCTCAAATGGCATAACATAATACACAAAAACCATTGTTCTACATCCTACTTTGGTGAGTAGCGACCGGGGTCTTAAATGTTTGCGAGTGGCCATCTAGATGCAACAATGGGTCTCTCCTCATGCAGAGCAAAGAAGAATGAAGAAAACCAAAGGTTCATGGAAACAATTAGTCCAAGGGACTGGTAGACCATGAGATCCTCAGCCTATATGACCTTGAGACCAGAAGAACTAGATGGTTCCCGGCTACCAATGTCAACCACTCGGAGGGGATTCAGTCCAAGAGATCCTGATGCTGGATAGAGTGGCGAACAACGTGGAACAAAACTCAAACTCATTATAAAAAAAAAAAAAAAGACAAGGTTTGGTGGTCTGATATAAGCTGGTGAGATCCCTGAGACTATGGCCCCTACTTTCAGGGGCCCCCTTTCAGGTCTGGAACTGAACATTTACATCCTTAGAGCATTCAATCATGGGAGAACAGAAGGGCAGTGTTTGCACAGGGAGACAGCTCGGAGGGCAGGAATGCATGGGAGGGAAGGACACAGGGAAGAGGTAACTATGGGGGAGAAAGTAAGAAGAGACCTGTTACACTGCGGGGAATTGCAGCCAATGTCATGAAACAAAACGTGTATGAACTGCTGTATGGAAAATGAATTTGCTCTGTAAACTTTCATCCAGGTCACATTTAAAAAAAAAAAAAAAGATTCTTTATAGGACCAATGTTCTATGATCTTTGTGTATGGTCCATACATATTAACATGAAGAAATTCAAACAGTGGCATACAATCCACACCTAGTTACACAGGGCAGTTATGGTAAGCATAGTCCCATAGAGGATACCTCTCAGCAGCTTTCTGCTAGGAGGAAAAAGCTCACAAAGGTGGCAAAATGCTTCCCTTTACCCAAGAGCATAAATGTTTGCTACCGTTTCCTGTTGGACTAGCTTGAGCTTGTTCTCTTCAATCTCATTCTGAAGCACTTGAAGTTGGTGCTGTTTTGTTGCCCCTTCTTTCTGCCAGTCTTCAAGCTGCTTCTTCTGCTCACTGATGTCCCTCTGGAGCCTGCTCTGCTCACTGAGCTGCATGTCCCGCTGGTTGGTGGTGTGAAGCAGATCCTTTAGATGAGAGAACAAACTGAAACCACTAACAAGGCCAGCTTCACTCTACATGGATAGTGTCAACCCTGTCTCATCTAAGTCTCACCAAATGAGAAGGGCAAAGTTCCACACCCTTATTACCTCAATTAACTTATAGAAAGTTATCTAGAACCGAGTTTAATCATTGTTGGCTTTTCTTTTATTTAGTATCTAGGAAATGAGATGTCAAAAACATGCAATCTTAGGCAAGAGACTCAGTTCCTCCAAGCTTTACTGCCTCATTACTAAGATAGAAACAGACAATATGCACCCTCAGGATTGTTGGGAGGATTAAGAAAAACTGTGAATAAGGCTTAACAATGTTAAAATTGTTAAGGCTTAGAAATGAGCTTAAAATCACAGTTTTGTTACTATTGAAAGTACTTATATAGCTTTTAAAAACTCAGAAAACAATAAAACTTCTTTCTTCAAAGAAGCCAAATTAAGTGTTCTGAAAACCACAAAAAAAGTTTATAAGAACCTGTGTAAGTACTTTAAGACTGAATACTTAAAGTTTTTTATATCTCAGAGGCACAGCATCCTAATGGTAGAGAAAGAGAATTTAGATGCTAAACCAACTGCTAATTTACATAGCGGAATCCGAGGACCTACGGCCAAGGGCCCAGAACTTGCTTGAGGTTCTTTGAAACTCAGTATTATAGCACTATCCTTACAGGACAATCCTGAGGTACTTTTAAGATCATTAGAAGTATTAGGATCAAGAATCCTCCCTATTTAACATCTGACAAGACAGAAGCCCAGAGGCCCAGGTTACTCACAGATCAGTAAGTGACGAAACCTAAACCCAGCCTTTGGAGGCCTCTGCGATGTGGATCAGAGAAGGTCCATCTGGTCCCTGAAGTTCCCGGAAGGGCTACTGATAGGTCAGCCTCTAGTGTAGCAACTACCCTGTTTAATAGCTTTAAGTAAAACTTTGAATCAAGAGTTTTAGGGCTAAAATAAAATTTGAAAACCACTTTTCTGCATCAAATTTTTCTTTATATTTTTGTGTCATATAAATAGTTCCATGGGACCTGCTGGTATGAGAAGCAGCCAGCCTACCTGATTTTTGTTGCTGTTATTTCAACCATCTGCATGCCTTCAGGATACTACTAGAAGATTACATTTGTTAAGCTTACCTGTTCTGCTAGGTTCAAATGGTCTTGGACACGAGCTAGTTCTTCCTGTAGTGTGTTCACTTCTTCTCGTTTTTCTACAAAAGTAAAATTTTAATAAGATATGTATGCATTTTCCTGATTTTCATCAGACCTCTAAAGAGTAGAGTGGAAAGAAATTTAAACACATTTCTGTTACATGTATGATCACTATCTTACTAAATGGCACAGTGTGTTAAATGCTTGGTTGCTAACCAAAAGGTTAGCAGTTCAAACCCACTAGCCACTCCATGGGAGAAAGATGTGGCAGTCTGCTTCTGTAAATAATTCAGCCTTGGAAACCCTATGGGGCACCAGTTCTACTCTGTCCTATAGGGTCATGCTGAGTAGTAATCAACTTGCAAACAAGTTTTATTTTAATTTTACTAAAGTCCAAAAGATAGTAACATGCACAACCAGATCTGGGCTTGGGGCCTAGGTTTTTAAAGATTTACATGTTCAAAACTTCATAATAAACATTTAAATACCTAGTGTTGGTAAAATTCATAGTTTAGAAGTACCCACCATACTTCTGACAAAAATGAAAATTGATACAACTTTTTAGGAAGATGATTTGGGAGTCAATTTCAAAATCTGTATCAAGGTCTTCGATTTGTCACTTATTAGCTATGTGACTAAGAGCAAATCAATTCTACTTGAGCAACTCACACAGAAACTACACCAGTTTTCTCATCTGTAAATGGGTAAAATGATAGATGCTGCTACCTTATAATAATGTCATGAGAAAAATGCATGCAAAATACTTATCATGAGGCCTTAAAAAAAAAAAAAAAACCAAACCCACTGCTGTTGGGACAATTCTGACTCATAGCAACCCCACTGGGTTTCCAAGGCAGTAAATCTTTACAGAAGTAGATTGTCCAGTCTTGCTTCCACGGAGTGGCTGGTGGGTTTGAACCACCAACCTTCTGGTTAGCAGTCAGATACCTTAGGCACTATGCTACCAGAGCTCCTAGACCTAGGACATGGTTAATGTTCAAAAAATGCATCATTAGCTAGAATTATTCATGAATATTTATAAAGATTTGGTGATAAGGATGTTATCTGCATCTTTATCTGGAAGGATATACACACCAAACTGTTAATAGGAAGGGTTTTTCTAAGATTAATAGTAATATTTATTTATACCAAAAGGCTATGATTTTTATTTGTTAAGAAACAGATTACTTTAAAGAAATAGTTGTAATAAGATATAATTCACACAGCATGTATTTTACTCATTTAATATGTACAGTTTAATGGTTTGTGGTATATTTAAAGTTGTGCAACCATCATCCAATCTAATGTTAGAACATTGTCATCATGTCTACAAGAAACCCATGCCTATGAGCACCAATTACTTTTTTTTTAGCCAGCCAATTTTATTTAGATTGTTTCCATTTGTTTGCAATTACAAAGAAATCCATAATGAACACTCTTATGCATAAATCACTTCCTGTAATTCTGAGCATTTCCTTAGGCACCAATTACTTCCGTAATAAGAAAAATCAAATAATTACCCAAAGAATCTAACAAAGGAAAAAAAAAAATCTCTTCTTTCCTGTTCTGCTCATACCTTGTAGCTGTTGCTGCATTACTGAAATGTCTTTATGTAGTGAGAGCTTGTCTCTATTTAGCTGGTCTAGTTCTTGCTGCAGTTTTTTGACATACAATTCCAACTTTTCTAAGTTTGATTGCTCCATTTTGCTGTTCTCTTCTGTAGTTGTAAAAACTCTATTACAAAAGCAAAGAATAAGTAAAACTGTCAAATGTAAAATGTTCACGCACACTCACACAAGGTGGCTGAGGAATAGTATTATACTTTCACAATATACAGTCGTGGCAAGTCTGAACTCTATAAACCTTAACAAAATCTAACACTCTTCAACTAGTTTTCAAAAGCAATTTCATTATCAGCTTTCTACACAAGAGAGTTTTCAAAAACTGAGTCACTAAACTCAAGTTCTAGAAAAGCCAAGGATAAAAAACATGGAGTATCTTTTGCATAAATGAAACGAAACAGTATGTATTTGTTTTGTTTGGCTTTTGTCAATCAGCATAATTATTGTGAGATTCATCCATGTTTTCTTGTTTATATAAATATTTAATTCGCTTTTTACTGGTAAGTAGTCTTCCACGGCATAGATATATCACAATTTGTTTGTCCACTCACCAACTGGTGGACATTTGGGTTGTTTCCAGTTTTCAACTATAACTAACAAAGACGCTACGTACATTAGTGTACATTAGTGGACACATGCTTTCATTTCTTACATAAATGCCTAGGACTGAAATGGCTGGATTTTATGGTAGGCATATGCTTAAATTGTTAAGTAACCGCCAAACTGTTTTCTAAAGCAGTTGTACCATTTTACACACCCACCAGTGGTGTATAAAAGTTCCTTGCTAATACTTGGTATGGTCGATATTTAATATTAGCCTTTCTAATAGGTATGTGGTAATATCTCTTTGCAGTTTTAATTTGCATTTCCCTAATGATTACTGATGCTGAGTATCTTCTCATGTGCTTATTTGCCATCCATATATCTTTTTTGGTGAAGTCTCCAAATCTTTTGCCTATTTTTAAAAATTGAGTTTTCAGAGATTTTAAAAAGGTATTTTCTGGACATAATCCTTTATTAAATACATGGTCGCAAAGATTTTCTCTCAGATCGTGGATATCTTTTCAATCTTTTGGGAAGTAAAGCTCTAAATTTTGATGAATTCTATTTTATAAATTTATTTCTTTATGTATCATGCTTGTGGTGTCATACATAAGAAATTTTTGCCTACCCCAAGTCACACAGGTTTTCCTTCTAGAAGTTTTAAATTTAGAATTTTACATTTATGTAAACATATTAAGTTTCGAAATCAGGTAGTGTTAGTATTAAAATTTTGCTCTTCAAATTGCCAATTTCCACAAAAAGGGTTGCTGTAATTTTGATCGGGAATTGTCTTGAATCTATATGAATTTGGGGAAAACTAATCTATCTTGAACAACAGAAAACAAAACAAATTAGAAAGAATTCACCATAAATGCTATTGGTGAATTGTAGTATGATACTAAATTTGTGGAGTGTTTCTTATTTGCTATACTCCAATTTTTTTTATGTACCGTGTTTATATTATTTTGATAAATTAACAAAATGCCTCATCTTTCTAGAAGTAATCCTCTCAGCTTTTCTGCTCCTGCTCTCACCTTGTGGTCTGGGTCAACTTCTTTTCCCACCTGTCACATGTCTCTTCGAGATCTTCCTTCTCTTTGCTCAAAGACTCAATACACACTTGTAATGCTCGCGTCTCGGCAGTCATTCGCTCTATTTCCCGTTTGTCCTTCTCAAGGAGCTGCTTCTGCCACTCTATCTCCCCTTTCTGTCGCTGGGCTGTCTGCTGCAAATTCTCTAACTCCAGTTTCTCCTAAATTAGACAAAAGAGAGCTCAAATATCCAGAAGAGCAAGACTGCAGTTGGCTAAGGGTATGATAAACTTTGTTCATTACCTGGAGCACTTCAACCTGCATCTTCTCCAGCTCAGACACCTTTTGGTTATGCTGTAGCTTCAAGCCTTGTAGCTCATTGTTTTCAAGTTGTATCATGTCTAGAATATTCTTTAGTTCTAACAGACAGAAGCAAAGCATGCTCTAAGCTATTAAGTAAACATGGAAACGTTTACAAAATGAAATAAAAAATAATGCTACTGACTGAATCAAGAAACAATAAACAGATGATTAAAAATTCTTTGTTTGAATTCAACTCAGGGAGTTGTTGAATTTTTTTTTATGGGAAAAAAAATCCTTTAAAACTATTGTTAAATATTAATTTGTTAAAAATATTTTAATGAACACATTTAACAAAAATCTAGTTCTCAACGTATTACCCCTTCGTAAAAGAATTAACTAAGAGCACTTTTATATAAACAAAAATTAATCAAAATAAATGTGGGAAACTTTAAATTCATTTTCTGGTTATAAAAATATCTGCTCACCGGGTAAGATTCAAAAAATTAAAAAAAAGTATAAAACAAGAAATGATAATCAAGCATTATCCCATCATCCAAAAATAATCCCTATTACAATAGCATTTTCATTTTATTTCCTCCAATGAATACCTATACATACACATATATATTTTTAAATAAAATAGCATTACATTGCATGTTCAGTTTTTACACTCTTCACATAAGCATTTTTGCATGTCATTAAATGTTGTTAAAAATATGACTTTTAAATTGGCTATTTAAGCTATTTCCAAATTCTGCCATTCTAAATATTGCTGTGACGTGCATAAACGCTCGCCCTCTCTAGCTTACTAGAAATGGGCTCAGAGAATAGCTGTGAATTTTAGGACTCTTGAAACACAGGGAGATCGTTCCGATTTATACTTCAATCAACAGCCAGTAAGAGCTCCTCGTTCACCACACTCTGCTCAGCAAGGAATATGATTATTCTGCTTTTAAATAAATCTTATTCATTTGAATGGCAGAAAACATGATATTCCTTTTGAATTTTGCTTTTCTTCACTTATTAATAATTGATCTGACTGAGATTTTTTTTCTGTGACCTGAAATACAGACATTTCTAGCCCCAAATTTTATATGACTGTTTTCCTTTAAACTTACCAGTTTTATGTTTAAACATTTGCCCTAAAACTACCTGAAGATTTTCTTCCTCTTTTCCAATTTCCTGCTTTATAAGTGCAAGTTGAGTTTTTTTTTCACTAATCTGGACATTCAGTTCTCCTTTCTGAAAACTCAGTTCTTCCAGAAGAGATTTTACTTCCTGTGTAGGGGGAAATCATGCCTCTATTCAAAATTATGAATAGAAATTACTTTAAAATCAATTCTGTTATAAATGATCTCATTTCACAGAAATTCTAATTTGGAAAGAAGCTCATTTTTGCCTTTTATGTCAAAAATAGCACTATTTTCATACTAACATAGCTCTGTATGATAGGAGGAACTAACACATTATGTTCATTTAAATGTATATGTGACATTTATTATGTGCAAGATACTACGTTGTCTAGAAAAAAAGGCACATTCAGACATGATTCCTGACCTCAAGGGGTTCAGCCCTCACCAGGAGATAAAGAAGGGCACATTCACAGGATGACACCAGACAGAGTGACTCAGACTCAGAAGAGGAAGAAACTCCTACAGCTAGAATAGAAGGAAAGTCATGGAAGTCTTCAAAGAGGAGGTGGTATGAAGCTGGGTCATGAAAAATGGATAGGCTGTGGTTAGTGATGAGGGACAAAGGGCATTCCCAGAGAAGAAATGGTATGAGAAAAGACCCACAGACAGGAAAATCTTGAGCATATCCAGAAAACGATATGGGGAGAATGATACCCAACAGCCAATAGCACAGGTACCTAACACAAAACCAAAGCAGTATTGCAAGGTCTCCAAGATTTCAGCAATTTATATTTGCATTTAGGGGAAACCAAATGAAAATATATTAATAGATCCATAGTGTTATCCTAGGGCTCAAAGAAAACCTATTGAGAAACAAACCCTAATGTGACTGCACTTCTCAGCTACTTCACTCTCTCCCAGTCTCAGAGCTTCCTGGAGGTCAGCCTTTGCCTGGACCAGGCTTCCTTGGAGTAGATGCAGCTCTTCCTTTTTATGCGCTAACTGCCTGTCCAAGACGGCCATCTCTTGCTGCTGACTTGTCATCTGCATTAAAGAAAAGGGAAGAATGCTAAGGGTCTAGTCCCAAGAGTCAGGAAGGGGAGACTAGGTGGGAGCATGAAATGCCTATTAAGATCTTGAACTTACATGCTTAAAACCACTCCAGTCACAGCAATAACAACAATATGATAATAATGGTTGTCCCTCAGGCTATGGTTTTCAAAGCACTTTCATATCTACATTTTATTTTTTTTTATTTTATTTTGATTTGGGTGAAGATTTACAGAGCAAATTCACTTTCCATACAGCAGTTCACATATACTTTGTCTCATGTCATTGAGCACAGTTTACCACAATGCAAGCTCCCCTCCCACTTCCTCCTCATAGTTACCTCTTCCCAGTGTCCATCCCTCCATACTCTACTGCCCCCTGAGCTGTCTCCCTGT